CGTGTGTTGGCTGAGTAAGATGGTACATCTTGCTCCAGTACCCATTACCGTCACAGACGAACAGACCTGGTTGATGGCGTGTTCCGCTATCACTGTCTCCCGGAGATGATTGTCTCGGACCGAGACCCGCGGTTCACAGCCGTGTTTTGGAAAACGCTTTTCCTTTATTCGGAACTCGTCTGCAGATGACCACTGCGGACCATCCGCAGACAGACTTCCAGATGGAGAGCGTCAATCGAGTGCTTGAGGACATGTGTGCGCGGAAGCTCCCCGTACGTGGTTGACACAGCTTCCAGCTGTTGAGTTTGCGCTCAGCAACGCGGTGCACGCGTCCACGGGATTCACGTCGTAATATTTGGACGGCTTCCATCAGCGCAGAGTACCTCTCACCCTGTCTCATCTATTCTAAGTGGGGGAGGCTTGGAAAGCTCTATCCTCCCAGGTCTTAGATGTGAGACCGGTTTCGCTGCAGAAACAAGTGGAGTCCTTTGTTGATACCAAGCTGAGCGTGATCTACAGAGTCCGCGATGTCCTGGCAGCAGCCCAGGACAGACAGAAGGAGTACTATGACCAACATGGAAGAGGAAACTTAGCTGTGTTTAGCAATTTAGCTACTGAGTCTTTGCTACGGGTCCAATAAGACCTCTACCAGAAATCAATACAAATCGTCATCTGTTTCGCTCATAATTTGCAAACATTTGTTGGAAAATTATGCGGTAGATGTCCATATGGACCCCTACCATATAAAACGCCAGCTTTTGCAAATCATTCGACTCTATTATACCCAATTGCGGCTTAGATTGTTTATGGTAGAGGTCTACCCGGACCTCTACGAAGGGCAAATCCGTCCAGTAGCTAAAGGGTAAAGGTGGGTGAATTAGTGTTATTAGACACGAGGAACCTACCGCAAGACACTGTGAGCTCTGTCGGCAGCAACAAGCCGAAGCACCGCTTCATTGGACCGTTCGCAGGCCTGGCCAGGCATGGTGCGCCGAACCATCGACCTGCCTAAGCCAATGACGACGCACCTGACGTTCCACGTTGGACGTCTTAAGCGGTACCATGATCCACAGGGGGTCGCTGACTCGCAGACCCACCTTGGCTCAACTCCTCGAAGCGGGGCCCGGCCACAGACGTCAACGAGGGAGCCGGAGCAGGCACCCAAGCCTCGGGCTGAACAGCAAGGCTGCGGTCGAGACCGTACGGCGGAGGCCCCCCGTACGAACGGACCCCAGAGCCATACGCCGAGTACGTCGGCTACGAGCCATACGCGTACGGCTGGGAGTGCACCGAATGTGGCTCCAGACGTGGTAGCAGCCTCAACACGTCGGATAATGCGGAAGGCCTCGTCAATATCGGACGAAGAGGGCCGCCGGTATACCCGCAGATGCAGGCTCGAGACCTCCCTCTCCAACCGGTCCAGGCGGCCCGCAAGACGACCGAGCATCGCCTAATTCCCAGCCTGGGCGGCAGCATCACCACCAGTCCAAAGGCCAAACGTAATCGCAAGCACCAGGACGCGTTGAAGGAGGCGGCCAACCTTTAGGGCTGCGTCGGACCCACAGAAGGAGCGCTCGGACGAGAGTGGCGTTCGGGAGGCGCCGAGTACTCGTACTCGTACGGGGGCACCTCCGCCCCTGCTTGACCGGAATGGAGAAGTCAACTTCCACGTGGAGCGGATCCTCCAGGAGCAACGGCGTCGCGGTAAGCGACAGCTCCTCGCGAAGTGGAGGGGTAGCTACGGAGAAAATGCCGATCTCAATGTCGCTGAATTGAAAGCAATCATGAAAAGTCGCGATCGCCCTCAGCAAACACAAACCGCTATGTGGGCTTCTGATCTTAATAAATCAATAAACAAGACTGATGCAGCTACTCAGACCCAAGGTGGTAAAATGCAAAACCTATGGGCCTATCAATCTAAAAATAAAAATAAGCCAGTTAAGACATTCAAGTTTAAGCCGATAATATTATTTTAGCAGGAGATTTTGATCATCGAGCAAGGCTCGGACGGAGTCTGAGTCTTGTGACTTTACCAGGGTATCGATCGAGCTCTCCGCTCAGAGGTTCGATCGATGATCGAAGGGTCTTTGACCGGAGATCGAGATCCCCTGGTCGGCAGACCAGTCTTCCTCTCTCTCTTTAGCTCTTTCGAGGTCAGATACCTTTGCTTTGAGCTCGTGGATTTCGTCGAGCAAATGTTGAACCATTCGCATATTGTAGCAGGTGATTTTCGAATAATCAATAGACAATCGAAATCCTTTTGGTTCTAGTATTGGATCACTAGAAATTTGTAGATTCTCGTCCTCATGCGGACATTGAGCTTTTAAACCTAGGAAGCCGGCATCGAGTACATCCTGAGCCAACAATCCTATCTCTGGATACCGATCGCGCTGACCCTTCCACTGATATTGGACGACACTCAGATGGTATAAATCTTTAATAGCGTCAATATCAATTGAATAGATATTTGTCTTTAAGCGTCGATCTGAACTCATGACTGTTGCCGTGGCTGCCAGATACCCGTCGAAAATGGCTGATATAGCTGTTTAAGTAATAGGTGCGCTCTCCGTCGCTCCTGAGTCCGTTCGTAATCGGTATTCCACGCCTCCCTCGGCTCCGAAAGTGTACGAACTTTGCCCTACGCAATGTAGCATAGCTGCTGGATATATACCCCCAATCGCCCAGCCGCTGTCAGAACCATTTTATTCGAGCCACCCGTAGCCCAATAGAGTCCGGCAGGATAAACTCCGTGGCTAATACCACTTATACCCATCTCCCATTGCGAAAAGTTAGTCCCAGTCAGCGAAAGCCGGCAAACCCCGTTTGAAGCTGATAAATTGTTATTTAGCTCTAGAAGAGTGCTATTTGATCCGACTATCGAGAGTCCTGACATACTATAAGTGCTATTAACGTTTAAAGTCATCTGGAAGCCACTACTAGGAGTCAATGTATTAACATGTACTCTTCCATATCGATCAAGGTGTAAATTCAATGCAGAGATAGCCGATGTCGAAGAATTATTACATGCGATGTTGATAGCTGCATGATCCGTCGATAATTGAGTGTAATAGCCTGTTCCCAGCTGTAATTGTTATAGTACCAGCCCTCGGCGATGTTAGCTGAATACAGAGAGCCACCGACTAATTGGTTCATGAGCGCCAACCCAGCCCATGTTCCAGCTGATGAAGTTCCAGTAGCTGAAACGCTATGCAGTACCCACTATGAACCTTCAACCCTTACGAAACGTTTTGAATAGTAGTCATTGTCGATCCTATGGTCAGTCCTCCATCATCGCTATCACGAAAAATATTGTAGATCTCCTTATACGCGGTATTATTGTAGAACTGAATTCCATTCGTTGATGCATTGCCTGATGGAAATCGAATAATCGAAGATGAATCAAGTACCAGCGCTTTGCTCGAAACAACTGTACCAGGCGTCGTATCGATATACCGGCATCCTCCGCTTTTTACTGACAAGCATGTTTGGGTACAAAACAAGGGTTAAAAGGTGATGTTTGCCGCGCGTTGTGAATCACGAAAACGTGCATTGATTATTCGAGCAGCTCGTCAATGGTGTCGTGCTCGTCAGCTACCATGCCGATTCTACCATCTACAAGACAAAAGCTAGCCAATTCCGAGATAATCTCACTGAGCTGCCAAACCTTCTTCTTGGCTCGTCCTCGAGCCGTCTTGCACGCTAATTCGATACTTTTGCGCTTATCGCGCCACTGATACAACAGCTTGCGTCGCTGCTCTTGCGCAAGCGCCAGGCATCGAGCGCTGCTAGCTTTTCGGCTGCAGTAACAGAGGCGCGGTGGCGCCCCGGTGGCATCTTGAGAAGTGAGTGGCGCACAGCCGATTTATGTTTTCCCGCCCGCCAGGCATCGAGCGCTGCTAGCTTTTCGGCTGCAGTAACAGAGGCGCGGTGGCGCCCCGGTGGCATCTTGAGAAGTGAGTGGCGCACAGCCGATTTATGTTTTCCCGCCAGGCATCGAGCGCTGCTAGCTTTTCGGCTGCAGTACCAGAGGCGCGGTGGCGCCCCGGTGGCATCTTGAGAAGTGAGTGGCGCACAGCCGATTTATGTTTTCCCGTCCCCATTTTATGTGTTGTCAGTTACGAGTGAGGGACTGCGGTAGCGGTATTTGATTGGCTAAAATCGTTTGTCAGTAATTAGCGACCGTCAGTAAAGAACGGAGGATGCCGGTAGTTGATTTTAAAAGCACTAGCAGTAATAAGAGTGCCTCCGAGAGAGATAAGCCAGTCGTCGATCCATTGTGAGAAGAAACGGTCAACGTGGATACACGTGTGATGTTTGGTTGAGAAGCTGTTTGAATCGTTCCTGATTGTTGGTGGCTGACAATGAATTGACATTTATAATACTACGAGAGGAATCGACAATTAAGGCCTTACTCGCTTGAGCAGTGCCAGCAGCTGTGTCAACATAGTTAGTTTCTGAGTCACATGCTGTAATTAAAACACCCCCCCCCAGTTGTTAATCCATCATGCGACGCGATATTCAATGTATTCACTGAAGTAATGTTCGGCTAATTCGATGTTTGGATCGTTCCTGTTAGTTGCGTGGCCGATAGAGAATTGATTCCTGAGATATTACTTGATGCATCGAGGACCAACGCCTTACTCGCAGTTGCCGTACCGGGTGTGATACCAGTAAGATACGTTGTCAAGCTCCCAACCGCTACCCTTTTCACGGCTAAACTACTACAGCTGAGTGCGCCAATACCACTGATATCTTTGTTAGGCCCTGGAACAAGCGCTACACCCTCCGTGGCTGACCCTATTGTACTACCCGAGATATAAGTCAATCTGTAGTCATTTTTTGCTGAGGTAAAGCGTCTGAGCATAATCATAGGTTAGAAATCCACTCGCATCCAGAGATAGATAGAAAGCCGGATTATAGATAGGTGATTGGAAGACAGGTTGTGGATATGAAAAACCAGAACTCATTTTGTCTGAAGCTATATAGATCAAACGATAATCATGAGCGGTATTCCCGATTTCGGAGCTTCTTTACCAAAGAACTCCAAAAGCGCCTCAGTGAGAGACATTCCTGATTTGAACATCAAATCACTGTTCAGAATGATAGTGCTCGGCCCGTCTTTTAGCGGTAAAAATGATCTATGTATGTTTATTCTTAAACATTCCCCTCACGTGGTCGCACACCTAACTATTATCGCAAGAAACCCCCATCAGGAGATGTACGAGTATCTACGCGACAAACTTGACGGATTTATTACTTATACAGACCCTGATGCGCCCCCAAGCGTAGATCAAGTTCGTAGAACCCCGATGAACTCAAACAAACCTGAACTTGTTATCATTGATGACTACAGCAACGACAAACTACTCCAGAAGAATCTGTTTTCTCACTACTTTATCCGTGACCGCCATTTCAAATTGAGTACTATTTTCCTTAGTCATAGCTACTTTGCCACTGACAAGATGATTAGATTGAATGCAGAGTATGTATCTATTCTAAAAGCTAATTCCAAGCGTGATTGGTCATGGTTGGGAAGGACTTCAATATACCGGGAGTTGATGAACGTAGTATCGTATACTACTACAACAAAGCCACGAAACGTAAAGGTCAGATGGTATTTGTGGATTCGGTTAAATGTCAGCTTCGGTACAGCTTCAATCGCCCTATTACAATCCTTTCGGAATAAATTAAAAATATTTTGATCGAATCAATATACACTAGTAATATGGCTTCGTTTCTTAAGCTTGATTCAACCAATCTTGTCCAATAAGGATACAACTCAACTTGGAAGTATAGTTTCCCGGTTTCAGAAGTAGATTTTAAGGATGTTGCCTGCGCGGTGCAGTCGATTTCTATGTACAACTCAGAGTATGACATCGATGCAACTCAGTTCTGGAACAATTCGTTCAAGATCGAAGTACCGACAGCAGCTACAATATCCACTATCTCTATAACACTATCGGATGGCTTATACTCGTATGCAGATATCAATCGAAGTATTCAGACAGCTCTCGTAAACTCAGGAGCTTTTCTAATCGATTCTACTAGTGACAATGTGTTTTATATTCAACTAACCGAAAATAGCGTATATTACGCTGCTCAATTCGATTTCAGTGCTACGCCAGCATCGCTCCCGCCTGGATACACTCGACCTACTACGTTTATATAGATCTGGAGGAACGGGATTACCAACTACGACGCGAGTCCCTCGTGTTATTATCGATAGTGCTGCGTTTGGCAAGGTAGTTAGGCTGACTAGTGTGGTGTAGGGATTTCCAGATTCGACCATGCGCCAACCTACTTTAGATCAAGAATCGGCTCGGTCTGATAACCCAGAGCTTAGGGACAAAGGATCACGGTAAGTACTCGGCGATCTGTCCGGATGATGCTATCCGGATAGCCGCTGAGCTCAACGGGCGCCTGAACCCAGCTGAAGGGTCGGTAGAGATCCGAAACGACTACATTTCACTAGATATTTGTAAAAGAAGCATAGGATTAAATAGGGGGAGCCGAAAAGGCTCCCAGAGAATAACAGAGCAGAATTTTTCTAGTCCAAGACACGTGTACACTTTTCCGGTAAGTCCCTGCATAGGGCTGGATTATGCCTGCCGTCAATACTCGAAAGGCATAGCTTGTAGGGTATTGACTGGTAGCGCCAAGAGATTAGGTCGGTCCGGGTAGGACAAAGTCTCGCTACGCGCGAAAGAAAGTCCCGCATACTCAGCGGGCCGGTACGTCGGATAGCCCGGGTGCCGTAACACTTCTAGCTGAGCTGTCTCTGCCCTCGGTGACCTGTAAAAGCGCTCGCGCGCCGTCGTCCATCCTTTGGTGGAGGGCACAGGGTTGTGAACGAGCTCAGCCGAACCAAACTCGGCAGAGCCTCAGAAGTGATCTGACTTGGTTAGTCGGAACCGAGTGGAAGCGAGCAACTCGTCTGTCCCGGAAGGGCTAGACCGCGAGGGGACCACCCTCCGCGCAGGCCATACAACCGCCGACCTAACTCGGCGAATTGTTGTGGTTTGTGTAAGGAATCCACATCTGACGGTATTTGTGTGTTTTACTACACCACAACTGGTGCCGCGACCCGGAAACAGGAGTGTGTGCTTGTTTTTATAGGTGCCGGTTAACCAAGTTAAGAGGAAGAGAAGAGAAAGAGAAGAGTGAAGATGGTCAAGGAATCAGCAAATCCGAGCGACGGAAGCCCAGCGACGGCTAGAGGATCGCCTCTTGCTGGGTCGGACCCGGCGGATCAACGACTCATCGCCATGACGATGGAGGTGGGACGAACCGTCCAGTTCGACGAGGATGGCCAAGACCAGGAGAGCGAGAACGGAGATGCAAGTGAAGGAGAGTATGAAGAAAAGGCCGAGACCGCTGAGCTTGGAGAAACGAAGACTACCGCCGAGCTACTTGGCGAAGTGGAAGAGTTGACGCTGCAGGTGGGACGCATGGGAGCTCACGTCCTGTCGAGCGCAACTTATCCGCCGAGCTCGACGAAGGTGCGGACGATGAAGAAGATGAAGAAGAACATGGCGTTGCTCAAGGGGACCGTCCGCCCCTTATTCCGAAAGCGACGAGGAACGCCGATACGCCGAGCGCCAATAAAGTGTTGGCTCGACTCGGCGAGGAGATGAGAACGAGATCGGAATGGATGATGATGTTCGCGCCTGTGGCGATGGCGCAGGCGAAGTATCCGATGTTGGGTCCCGAGTTAACTCAACCGGTGCGTGCAGCCAACATCAATCAGTTGGTGGAAGAAACTGTGTGCTGCTGAAGGCGATGGGCTATCGGTGCAACAGCCGACCAAACAGCCTCATCCTGTCCGACTGGAGTCTGACCCATGGCGTAGCTGAAATCTGGCAATGGAAGAAGAAGTTGAGAGTGGCGTTTGGATTGGAGAAGGCCCCTGGCAGAACGAAGAAAGTGGACAGCCGAGTAGCCGAGTTCAAAACACTCGGCGAAGACCCAAGCAAAATTCCTTTGCCGAAGACCCCGGAGATGAAGAGACGTGAAGTGTTCCGCGACGCAAGGGACTTCGAAGACTCCCACATGCTGACTCCGATGAAGCTAAACCCGACTCAGCGAGCGTCGAGTCGTGGCAGCGGAATGTAGGTCGTTACCGTGAATTGTATGACGCTGCTGACGAAGCTGAGGCTTTCGAGGAAGACAAGGAGGACGATGACGCCTTCGACGTGAGAGGAAACCGTGAAGAAACCTTGAAGGACTACATCCGAAACTTGAGCTTCGACGCGGCTGAAGAAGACTCGACTCAGTACCTAGAAGTCCGAACCCATGCCTCACTCGACAAAATCGCCGAGTTCGAAGGGAAGCGCTACCGTTCTGACGCATCGCTGCAGTGGCTCAAGCATTTCATCTACGAGATGAAGAGCACCAGGATGCCCCAAAGTGCCTGGTGTGAACCCTTCTCGCTATGCTTGGGACGCGCGGCGAAGCGTTGGTATAGGCAGCTGCCGAAGAAGACTCAGCGACGTTGGAAACTACTCAGCGAGGCGTTCTTGGACTATTATTGCTCACAGTTTGACCAATCTGCCCGCACTCGTGACTACTCGGCGAGACGTAAAGTCAACGAGCCGATCTGCGACTTCCTGATCCGACTCAATGGGTATGCTCGAACAGCCAAGATCCAGTACGAGAAAGGTGGCGCCGACGCAGCTGACCATGTCGAGCACTTCTTGCTGCATTGTGGTGATGACGATGTGATGGATTTGATGTACCCCTTGCAGCTGGAGGACATCAGTAAGGTGGAACACATAATCAATCGTCGGATCCTTGGCGAAAAGCGCAAGAAGCAACGCGACCGACTCATGATCGCACGAGGCCGAGACGACAAGTGGAAGGATCAAACCCGCCGCGATGGACGCCGAGATGGACGGCGAGATGAGAAGCGCAGTCGCAAGGAAGAAAACCGCGACCGCCGAGTCACTGTCGTTGACCTGACGGGGAGGAACTTATCGATCAGAACCCGCTGAGTCCGTACAACTCCGAAGACGAATGGGATGATGAGGACCAGTCCGGAGGTTACGACTCAGCGGAAGACGACGACTACATAGATGCCGGCGTTACCAATGATAAGGGAAATACACCGGACCGCCGAGAGAACTCGGCGGGAGATCAGAATGGCTCGAATCGAAGTTGGGGGAACTCAGCGAACCGACCTCCGCGACCGTACAACCAACGAGAACAGTCGAACTGTGGAGATAAAGCACGCGACAACTCACCGCGTGGACCTTGTGCAGCTTGTGGAAGAACGGGGCACTCGGTTCACTACTGTCGGCGACGCTGCAAATTCTGCAGACAAGTCCATGAAGTCGTCCAGTGCGAGCTGTTTTGTCAATACGAGAAGCTGGCTGCGTTCGTGAAACACTCTGTCGACAAGTCGCAAGTGCCAGAAGACCTGCAAAACCCTTACACGCCGAGTGATTTAAACTCGGCGGCCCGCCAACACTGATTGGGTTGGAATATGCCGGGCTGCCACAGTCAGCTGAACCAGCAGTTGAGGCGAACTTTTTGTTTGCCTTCGTAGGCGAAGCAGGACGGCCCGAGGGAAGAAGCGGGTATGGCAATTGGATGTGTGAAATCGACGGAATTGAACGTGAGCTCGGTGAGTTAGATGATAACCACCGAGCGATTGCAAGTGTAACTCGGCAGTCAGACCAGGCTGTGCATCGTACCCGAATTATGAAGCTGCTCCCGGGAGAACGGCTGGGATGGTGGTCAGCACAGACGTTTGATCGCCAAGTTAGAATGAGAGCTCTCATATTGGGTGCAGTGAACGACCGAAGGACCAAGATATTATTGGACACCGGAGCAAATGTCTCGGCGATTAGTGAGTACTTCGCGAGGAAACTGCGTCTCAAGAGAGTAGCCAGCCGAGATAAGCGAATCGACATACAAGGAATAAGTAAAGACAGAATGGTGACAGCGTCACGAGCACTTGTGAAGGTGACACTCGGCTGGGAAGTGACCTACGAGTTTGAAGTATGGATAATGCCTTATCATGCCGGAGTCGATTTGATTCTCGGCACTGACTTCATGATCCCAGCTGGGATCCGTCTAGATCTGTACAACTCGGCGGTCAAGCTACCCGATGAGATGGTAATCTCACTCATCCGATCAAGTAATGCGCCGACCAAGACCGAGTTCGGACCAAATGTCCCATGCGGGCCTCCAGACGGGTTAACAATCGAAAGTCGAATGACCGCTGAGTTCAAATTGCCCAGGCGGCAGCCCAGTGAGTCGACGCATGACTTGTGGGTGCGACGGACGAAGGGTTGGATTTCAACGGCTGTTTTCAATCGCCGAAGAAGACCAACCCATGTCCTGATTACGAACGTACGACCGACGTCAGTCTGGTGCCCACCTCACTTTTATGTGATAAAATGGCAACCACACGGAGTACTGGCCAATGAGGGATATGTCCGCGTGAACTCGGCGAAATACCGTGACTGGCAGATATTGGCATTTGAGTCAGCGATGGACAAAGATTTGCTGCAGAAAGAACAGCGACTGTACGAGGACTGGTTGTCACACCAGCCGCCAGCTGTGAAAAGACGAAAATACCCAATTCCGACGGCGGTGGAAAAACGACCCTCTCCAGTGGAAAATGGGCCAGAAATAACATGCACCGAACGCTGGAGAAGGATCGAAGCTGATATAGAAGCCGTC